TGTTGAATCATGCTGTCGACTGAAAAAGAATGTATAATCTGCCTTATCTTGACTTTCGCGAGTTGCGAGTTTCAAAAACTAACAATTAGCTGTGCGCGCTACCATTCCGCAAGGCCCAAGCCCAACAAAAAAGTTGTTTTCTAATAGCGGTCGCACCTCGGCAGGCAATAGCAAAATCTGCGAGTATATTTCTGCCATGGAAAACAATTTCCCATAAAAATGCAATCGCCATTCGGAGTCGGCGTAAAACTGTAGGTCCCTCCCCATTGTGTGACAACATCAATGCGCGCGCCACGAATCGGAGTAGAAGCTCGGCCAAACACTAACATATTGAGTGCAGATCGAAAAAGTATGTTTGGCGTGTGTGCCTAGCTTATATTCAATTTCTACCTTTACTTAGTACTAAATCCCCTTTTTGCTAAAAAGCTAAAAAAAAATGTATGAACTAAGGCTGTGTGCGAGTTGACCTAAATTTAAGCACCTAAACATTAAATTTCCACCGCTGCTACAATTTAGGAAAACAACTGCTAAACTGTGCGAGTTCGTTTGTCAACCTGGCCCGTTCAGCTAAAAAAAAAAGAAAAAGTGCGAATGGCCCACCTTCTTCCATTTATTCTAACAGTATAAACTTTGTATACACACATTATTTCGCAGACATTAGCGAAAGTGCATGTGGATGTAATTGGAACAGGTGGGGGACCACGGACGGCAGACGTCTCTGATTTCGACCAACAGGCGCTTGAAACTTTTGGGGCGGCGACAGTTCTTCTGCCTTTCAAATTAGTTGATTTTTATATTTTTTCACAAATTTATTAAATCGTCGCATTTTTTATATCAACACAAACATATGTTTTTGCCTTGTCATCTGCCCAAAAGGTCATGACAGTAAGGCCCAATTTCAGATGGCCTATTTAAGTAGAGATTGTTGATTAACTTCCACTATTCATTTTCAGATCATACATTTAATCTGCACTTAAATAGCCAATATCGGCTATTTAAATATGAGATATGCAACCCTGTGTTTGTACCAAACAACCAAGATTGATTGGTAGGTTGTTTAAGCAATCCCACCAAAAAACAATCAGCTGTTCAGCGTAAAATGTAAACAAACAAGCAAATGCAACAACAATTTCAAGGAACAGGCAGCAGTGCTGCCAATTGTTTAGCATATTTAAACGAAGTTGATCTGAAACCCAGCGAAAGTTAAATGGCATTTAAACAACAATCCACAATTAGACTTAAGTGCCATTTAAATATTCATTTGAAATTGGCCATAAAAATATCAATTGGCATGATTCGAGCTTTTGAATTTTGCTGCGAATACCAAAAAGCTGCAATTGTCATTTTTATATCAATTGTCATCGAGGTGAGTTTTGTCAGTGTGGCGGAATAGGGCTGTAAAAACGTATTTGAGCAAAAGATAGGCCACGCTCCTGATGTTCACACTCGCTACAATTATAACGTGTTGTATCTTCTTATAGATTTACGTTCTTTGAGTCGACCAAGGACTGTTGTTTCGGCGATCTAACCCCGTTTTGGTCGGCGAAGTATCTGAGAAGTTGGTCGTCCATAGGGCTACATTCGCTACGTATACTTCTGATCAGGGCTGCGTCGAGTCAAACCCAGGGCAAGAAACCTACATCTGCTGTGTATGCCAGAGAAGACTACACCGCAACTCCACCTCAGTCAAGCGCAATACTTGCCAGGGGTGGAGCCACCTCAGAGTCTGCTCAGGACTACGGACGCACCACCATCTTTTGTGGCCCCCTGCTGCTCAAACAGAGCAGCCTCCACTGCTAACCCCAGTCCACCTGAGCAGCTCAATACAGACACTACAACACAACAGCACAAAAGACCACACCACAACCGCGACAGACCACATAACATACACAACCGCACCACCACCCACACGCCGCCGCCAACAACTCCTATTACCTCCTATAATCTGCACGGTATGTCAGACCTGGATATTCCGTAATGTGACATCAGTCAAGTGCAACACCTGCGCTGGTGCCACTTTAGGGCATGTTCAGGTCTGCGCACCACGCGAGATTGGACGAGGAACTTCGAGGGCCCGTGTTGCCCGGTCTCAAACCACAACTGCAACGCCACCCACTACCACCACAGGGTGGCAACCTCCACAGCAGCGCACTCAACCAATGGCGGCATAACTATACGTCTCCCGAACCATATGAAGCTCCTTCAATTCAACTGTAACCTACTTCAGAGTAAGATCGTGGAAATCGTGGATGGATCGTGGCTTAGCGTTCATCACGCACCACACCGTGCAGGATCGTCTTATTGAAGCAGACATCGACAGCAGGGATACTACCCTAGAATGTCAGGGCATTGCTATCCGGTCAGGCGATGTTGAGCTCGAAATATTAAATGTATATATATCCCCTGTCACTTGCTGCCCGACAGGATATCACCCTGACATAGGTGATAAACGCATGGTAGTAGGTGACTTCAATGCGCACCAAGCCAGCCAACCAATCGTAGGGGAACAGACTTGGCTGAGCAGATAGACGATTCGACATTCTGCACAATGAACGACGACGCACTCACCAGGATTATGGGCAGCTGCTGCAGCTCACCAGACATAAAACTAGTCAGCGTTGGTCTAATAAAAAGCATATCATGGCGACCTATGCTGACTTTGGCATCAGACCATCTGCCCATAGTCATCTCGATCGATAAACTCAACTCAACTCAACTTTTTTAAAGCTGATTGGAAGGCTTTGCGAAATTTACTAAGGGCACCTTCGCTGCGCTCCCCACACCAACCGACGTCCACCTTAGTGAACGTAAGTTCCGCAGGGTTGTCACTGCTACTGCAGCTCGTTTCGTACCGGCAGGATGCATAACGGCCCACGTCAAATTTCCCTGCTGAAGCGGCTGTTCTACCCGATGAGCATGACAGCCTTCGTCAAGCCGATCCCGGAAATCCCCGTATTAGGGATCTCAATGCGGAGATTCGGCAACTAGTGAACGTACATAAGCGGAAGAAGTGGGAAGAGCATCTGAAGACCTGTATCTTTAAGCTTTGGTCAACCGTGAGGTCACTGTTCAATCCGACGAAGCACGGCGACATGGCCGAAATTTTTTTCGGCGACCAGGCGAAAGCCTCCAAAGCCATATATCCCGACGGAATATGCATGCTGATGCTGAAAAATTTGGGTCCTGCGGGAGTAGTGTACTCATCATCCCAGACATCTGGAAGGTGGGGAGAGTGGTACCACTGCTGATACCGGGGAAACCAGCCAACAAAGGAGATTCGCATCGACCGATAAGACTCCTTTCCCCGGTAGCCAATACACTAGAGGCCTTGCTGCTCCCGTATTTTACAAACCACCTGACTCCAGCGAAGCATCAGCATGGTTTCCGTCGAGTGCACAGTACAACAACAGCACTTAACGCCATAAACACTCAGATAACATGTGACCTTAACCGCAACCGTCCCTGGGAGAGAACTGTCCTAGTAGCGCTGGCGTTTGACACCGTCAGCCACTCCACGCTACTAGAAGATATAGACACTTCCCCTCTCCCACACAGGCTCAAACGGTGGTCGGCGAATTATCTGAGGGGTCGACACTCGTCGGTAATGTTTAGAGACAAATCGAGCAAACTTAGAAAAATAAAACAGGGAGTTCAACAGGGTGATGTCCTTTCTCCACTACTGTTTAACTTTTACATTTCAAAGCTCCCTCAACTACGACAGGGAGTCTCGATTGTCTCCTACGCCGACGATTGCTGCATTATGACGACTGGGAATGGAATTGATGACTTGTGTTCGAAACGGGTATCTCTCCGAGCGAAGGAGGTCAGGCTACCGCTGGGAATTCATGTCGATGATACACTTATTCCGACGGTGAATAACCCCGAAATACTCGGAGTAACCTTCGACAGTCTGCTCTCCTTCTCTGCGCACGCAACCGCTATTGTCAACAAAGTACAGAGCCGCAACAAGGTCTTCAAGTCGCTATCCGACAGTACTTGGGGCAAAGATAAAGAAACGTTGCTGGCAACATACAAGGCAATAGGCCGGACGGTTCTAAATTACGCAGCACCAATGTGGCCGCCGGGGACTAGTAGGACGCAGTGGATGAAGCTGCAGATAACTCAGAACACCGCACTACGGACGACTGGATGCCTTCTGATGTCGCCATGCTATGCAAGCAGAGGAGCCCCCACCCAGGCACGTCAGGAGACATCTCTAGAACTGACGGACGAAGTCCAGAGGTTCATTAAACAACCGCCGGACCCGTCAGCATACCGACAGGCCCTTAACAGCATTCACAGGAAGTAAGTCTCGAGTTATGTAGACTCCAGACCTGTGAATGCTGTTCTAGGCGCACAACCACCGGACATAGACGCGACGGAGCTTCATCTGCCTCGGGAGACAAGAACCACAATAGCCCAACTTCGCTCTGGCTACTGCAGCAGGTTAAACCCATACCTGAACAGACTAAACGCGGATGTGCCGAATGAGTTGTCCGGCATGCGGAGACACCTCATGACTCTCTTCGTATGCCCGGAAAACCCAACAACCCTAACTTCTTTGTCCCTGTGGACCGACCCCATAGAGGCTGCACGCTTCTTAGGGCTGCCGTTAGTGGAACTTGACTACTCAGATATTAACCGATCTTGGCGGGGTTGTTGTAGCCTCTACAACAACAACATCAACTGCAGAACTAGTTCACTAAATTCTCGGCTAAAACTTGGCGTGCAATCAACCGACAGCCTGGGACTGTAATGTGGATCGCGTTCAGTTCATATGGTTCACGCGTGTTTTATTTAGACAGGCTGCACGCCGCACACGACAAGCCCTTTGTGTTTACAGCTTAAGGTGAGCGATCTACAGCTGAACGGTTCACCGGTGCTGGCATGAACTCCTTCCAGTAACGCTGCAGGTTGCGAATAGAAGATTGACGCAACAAAACATCTACAATTTTCCTAAAATATTTGCGTATGAGCCGTAGTCGGCTAAACATGATAAATTGTAAACATACATCATCATTTTATTTCCACTCAAGGTTTAATTGATTAATTTATATTAACAAAAAACTACAAACATTTGCAGCACTATAATCGCTTATACCAAATTCAGGACGCGTTAACTGGTCAAGTTTTAATTTACTCACTTACTTGTTGTTCTTAATGTCGGTAAGTTATAAGTCGACTTGACCAATCGGCTAGTATAAATACACCCCAAAAACTGTGCAAACGCAAAAAATGCTAGAATTGGTGAATACATCGGATGCATGCGAATCCGCTTCGGCATCCCAACAGCATTTTGCTATGTAGCGGCAACCTGCACCCAACTGTTGCCCCAAAGTTACCTGTACAACGTGCTTAAACCGTGGCATTTGAATTCTTTCCTTAACAGCCAAGCTCACTTCATCTGAAATCTCTCGAGTCCATTTACGTGCTTCTTCTGCGTTGTAGACCTTCCCTAAAAATCATTTGGTCAACAACAATTTACCAAAACTACTTAAATTACCTTGTAGTTTGTCGTAAATAATTACTTGAATAATATTTTTAATTTGCGATGCTGGAAACAACTCCCTTAATGAGGGTTTCATCCGGTATGAAGTTACTGGCAAATTTGGTGCAGACACTTCTACTACATCCTCTGGCGATAGCAAGTCGGCGACATCATCGAAATCAGTCTCTTGTTTATTCCCATCGGCATTGGCTAAGGCATCCATTTTTCCTTTATTTTACGTACGCTCTTATTAAATAAGTGGTCTATTTTGACAAAATGTCTGAAGCTTGATTTTTGTATATTCTTGCCTAGCAACAGCCTTTTTAAATAAAGTCAAAACAAGTCGCATATATGCATATATAGTTTAAAATCTTTATTAAAAAACCTTTGTCAGTCTACATATAGTATCATATTTAAATTGTCACAGCAAAGAAACAAAACAAATCTGAACCTTCCCAATAAACACCAAAAAAATATTTCTCCAGCTCAGTATATCCAGTAAAAAAACTGTGGTGAAGTCCTTTATGGGGATAAAGTTTCCAGAGGTGAAATTTTAGGTGCACACAATTTCTTACACTCATGGTTGCTTTTCAGCACTGATGAAAGAAACTTAAGAAATATTTGAAAAAAAAAGTTCATATAGTACATTAATTTTGAAAGAAATACCATATAATGTATGTACTCTGGTTAATAATATCAAAAAATGTTTTAGAACCACCGTTTAATGTTATATTTGATACAAATTAATATTGCTGCCCCGAACGGCCTGCGCCTTGCCACTGAATAATAGATTTACTGAAAATTACATCCCTGGTCCTTGTTCTTTCTGTATCGCATCGTGGTGAATTCACATTTCTCAGAAATTTGACAACAAAACAAAACAAAGCGAGCATTTTATTTGCTAATTTTTGCGATTTCTATTGTTTAATGTAAATTTGTCTTTTTAGGATATGTCGAGCCAACAAAGAAGGCGCAGTTGGAAAATTTAGTAATTAGTAATGAAGTAGCAGGCATATTTGGAAAATTATGCCGATAAACAGGATGGAATTTGGGAAAGTAAGTGCATGGTTGCAGCATATCTATGTATAAAAAGTATTTAATTAAATTGTTTATAGAAATGTTATAAATCGAGTGGCTCATTTACGATGTGCTCCAAACATTTGGCGAACTTTTTTTCGCCTTTTCAACGTGCTAAGTAACAAGTTAAGATGACTGCCATCATGGGCCGGTAAGAAACCGCAAGCAAAGGGCAGACCACCTTCCAGGAAGCTGCCTCCTGTCCCCGAGCCGAAGCTGCAGTTCAGCAAGAGCAGGTCAGGAAATTGCTACCCTGATCAAACGTAAACTAAAGCGCTCTGCTGTGATTGCACTCCGTAAATGTGAAAACTTGGTGCATGCTGAGAAATATCAAACAAGAAAACTCCGTGATGGACGCCGTGAGTAACGCTGTGTGGCAAAGAAATGCGGCCAATTCGACGGGCCTGAAAAATCCAAATTGGCTTTTGTGATCCGCATCCGCGGTATCAACAAAGTTGCACAAAAAGTGCGTAGTTTTACAGTTCTGTCTTCGCCACATTAAACGGTGTGTTCATTAAATTGAGCAAGGCAACCATTAATATGCTACGTATGCCGAACCCCCTATATGGGGTTATCCAAATCTTAAATCAGTTTGTGAATTGATGTACAAACGTGGAATGGTCAAGCGTGTCCCAATCTCTGCTTTGTGATCGAACGCAAATTTCGCGAAGCGCACGAAATTCAGTGCGTTGATTCACTTCACTTCAAGAAAGCCCCCAACTTCCTGTTGCTATTCAAGCTCAACACATCAACCCGAGGCTGGCGAAAGAAGGCTAATCACTACGTTGAGGTTGGTGATTTCGGTAGCCGTGAGGATAAGATCAACAAATTGCTGCACAAGATGGCTTAAAGAAATTGTTGTTTTGTATTTAAGTAGACAATATAATTTGGCACATCTTCAAAAGACGCCCAAGCAAAAAAAAGAAAAGAAAATTAAAAAATTCCTGAAGTTGCCTTTTCACGGGTCGATTTGTCGACTGGAAAATTTACTTAAGATATCGACTAGCCAAAACGCTTACATTTTACGGTTGAATTGCAATTTACACGGGTAGATTTTGGTTAAACGACAAAAATCGACCGTTTAAAGGCAGCTTAAATAACGTTCAAATTAATCACCCCCTTTGAGATGGAAATTCCAATAACCATTTCATAATTTCGAAAATTATTCCATTTATATTTGTTCTTGCATTTTCCACACCACTTGTGAGGTATGCTTTTACGCGCGTTACCGATTTTTTTTTAATGTGCTCGGTTGCCCAGGAGACATATTTTCACCTTTACAACTTAACTTAAACAGAATTAAAACTAAAGCATGCAATATATAAAGAAAATTAAAAGTTGTCTTACATCTAGTAAACTTAAAAAATTGCACATTAAATTCATTTTTCATTATAAAATAAAATTAAATATCACAATTCAGTTTACAAAATGTGGTCTGTTTGCACCCACAGTAAGTTCCCATGAAGCCTAGCCTAAATTCAGAATTGAAAAAAAAAACGAGCAAATGGGGTCGGAAACTACTAGCCCTAAAAGCATAATGTGGAAAATGTTTGAAGAGCTGCGAAATTGTATTGCAATAATAAAAATAATAGTGCATAAATCGGAAAAAATGGTTTTTGTTTTGCTTTATAATTTTTGGGAATATTGGTTCAGATGGAATTCTTTTGTTTGGTTTTTCAGCTCGTTAATGATGCACCCAGGGTTGCATTTACTGTCTATGAAAATATTTCGTGAAGCGTTCCAAAATTAGCTCCGAGCAACTAAAAGTTGGTTAAGCTTAAATGAAATAGTTTTTTATTAAATATTTATTCCTGGTATTTAGTGAAAAACATCAATACTAATGTATGAAAAACAAAACACCAATGCTAATGTATGAAATGAAGTAAATAAAAATCTACGAACACATTCCATGAATATTTTGTCATAGAGCCATTATTAAATTTAGACATAACTTTGTCAGGCGTTGGTACCTACGTATATAGAATTAATGCGTTGGAGAGAGATAAATATACAAGTTCAACGCGCTAATTTAGGTATCCTTGTATGTATATACCTGTTACTCGTCTGGCATATACTCCAACTGCGAAAATAATGTCAACTATAATTTATGTAGATCCCTGGATAAAAGATTGTCACAAGTTATTTTCGGTAACTCACGATTGAAGTTTGGAATGTAATTTCTCAGAAACACGACTACAGATTTTCTCCAAAGTGTCGGAGAATGCTATGTACTAGTTCATGAAATTCTTAAGCTTTCTGCACATTGGTCGTCCAATCATAGTTGCTTCATCGTCACAATCATGATGCTACGATTACATTACGACTACACTTTCGCACACTCGGTCGTGATATTTCAATTCATTTGGCGTCTAAAAATTCACTTGGAGAAGGTATTTTCTGTTTTTCTGGTTGATATTTTCGCGAAATATTTACAAAAACCTGCAATTTTTAAAATATAGACTTTGCTGCAACAATTCTAGACATCATTTTGCAGTAACATCTCTTCTTGTCTTTTCCTGAAATGTGTTTTGTGCATGCACACAGGGACTTTTTACAATTTCGTAATATTTTATAGCTAAAACGCTCACATTTATTGAATTTTGATGCAATTATCCACTTTTTAATAATTTCTAAAGATTTTATGCAAAAAATACTAATTTTTATGCAAATATTAACTTTTTCACTAATTTTTCACCATAAAATGTAAACAAACAATGCGTGCACAACGATTAGCAAACGACAGTGCCAGACTTATCCGTTTCTGCATCTTCTACGATTTGCCGACAACAAGCCGATAACGACAAGTGTGCAGATCTCCTTTGAAATGCATGTGCTCGGCTCAAAATTTCAGGGCGAGACGATAACTCAACTATGATTGAACGACAAGTGTGCAGATAGCCTTAAATTATCTTATTTTTTTTAGTTTAGTGTCAACCATTTATGAGTTTAATAAAATTTTGTCGTATACGACATTTGTCAAAAATTTGCAGTCAGTTTTAGTGATATACGCCAAAATGTGATAACAATTTTTATTAATTAACCATACTTTTTACTAATCAGCCTAATCGTGAGTTTCGCCCGAACAAAATTTCGCCAACAATTTTTTCATCCACCTGTAGTGAACACACGCAAACGAAAAGTGACCCGGTTCTAGAAAATGAAACTCATGATAAAGCTGAATATGTCGGAAACTAAAGAAGAACAGATAACTCTATTTGAAAGATCTTGATTAGTTTAGTACGACAGCAATACTAACGCAATTTGTACCAAATAACCGAAAAAATTTTAGTCAATTAGTCGGAAACTAACTGCCGTCCCTAAATTGGAGCGCTAAGCGTTGCGTTACCCATTGTCGACGAGTGTCAGCGCGCGCTATCCCCAAATCAACGCGTCGTAATTTTGACGTTTTCTCAGATCCTCTCGTTTTTATTCTCGTTTCCTCTTTCACTTTTTTGTCCTTTCTCTTTCTTTCCGTCTTCCGCATCCAACTTCAACACGTAACGCCCTGTCAAAAATGAAAATTCCATTTGCTCGGCGTTAGCGCCGCGTTATTGTGGGATGCTTCATACAAATTGTATGGGCATGAGGATTTTTGACAGTTGTTTGGCGCTTGACGCGCCAATTTAGGGATGGCAGTAAAGAAGATATCCAAAAACCACAAATTGTCAAAATGACGCTTCCGGCAATTTTCCATCCAGGCGACGATATTTGAATAGGTTTGTATAGTTACCAATAGTCAGTACTAATTTGTACTGGAACCTGCAAACTTTTACTGGAAAAGTGTATGATAACCCAAAAAATTTGCAAGAGAGCACTGAATCGAGAGCGTAACAACACGAGAGAGCTGCAAATTCTTGCTAGTGAAATTTTTACTAGCAGAAATTAGCTAGCAGAAGAAGAAGAAGAATAAATGTCAAAAGAATATATAAAAAGTGGTGTTACTAGCTCAGTTGATTGAAAAATTTTGTTTGAATTTCTACTCACACTTACAGGTTTTGACAGTTTATGCCGCCAAAGCAAAAACAAAATACATGTAAATTTTTGTTTTTGTACTCCTGCTATCACCTTATATTGATTCGCCTTGGCACAAACAAAAGTAAAATGAGTGGAAATCATAATATTAATGATGTACTGGACAGTGTAAGTGCTTGTGTGTAAAGCAAAGAGTTTAAAACTGATTTATAAATAGTAAAATGTTTACAGCAGATTGTCAAAGCAGTGCAACAACTGTTCTCTTGCAAGTTTTTGCTAGTTTTGTGTTCAATAACCTCTTCTGCTAGTTTTCTCTTCTTCTCAATTTTACGCTCTATTTTGCTTTTACGCTCTCGCTGCAATGTTTTACTGGAGAAGTTACTATACAAACCTAATGTTACTCGCATATTTTCGAGCCTGTATGTAAATTTTCGGGAAAA